TTGTTGAAATGAATATAATCGCCAAAAGAAACTATTTGACGAAAGAAAACTATTAGTTGTCGAAAAAATGGTTTATATATATATATATATATATATATATATATATATATATATATATATATATATATATAGATCTGGTAAGAAATTTTTTTTGGTAGGAAGGTAAGAAGTTTTTTTTCTACATATTTTTTTGACGAACAAAATAAATGAATCACTAAATGATTCATTTGTAAGATGATTCACAAGAAAAATTTTCCAAAAAAAACATCTTTATGATTCATTTTTAAGTAAATTAAGAAAAAATTCATTTTTATGATAATTTTAGTGAATAATAACAAAATCATTGTATAAATGAATCATCGAGATATTTTTTTGAGAATTTTTTCTTGTGAATCATCTAATGATTCATTTTGTTTGTCCGCGAAAAAAATATGTAGAAAAAAAAAACTTCTTACCTTCCTACCAAAAAATTTCTTCTTATTTGATCTTGACTTATGTATATATATATATATATATATATATATATATATATATATATATATATATATATATATATATACATATATATATATATATATATATGTATATATATATATATATATATATATATATATATATATATATATATATATATATATATATATATATAAACCATTTCCCGAAAGAAACTAATTGTCGAATACAACATTATAAACTAATTTGTGTTCCTTGAAATATAACATGTTTTCGAATACAACTAATTTCCGAAAGAAACTAATTGTCGAATGAAACTATTTGCACCCGTCGCTTAACGCGGTTAGACGGCTAGTATATATATATATATATATATATTAAAAAACTGGTCATTATGGTTTGCCAAAAGTCACAAATCCAGTCCCTGAGAATTTTTTTTTTTTTTTACGAATATGGTATATGTGGTTTCCAAAACTTGCATAAATGACCCTTTTTGCTAACGTCGTATTGTACATAATTTGATTTTTATTAATAATTTTCATTTGTTAACCTACAAAAAAACTATTTTTACGTGTTTATTTTTATATATTTATCGGTATAATTCAAGGTGGTTAACCTTTTCTTTTGTTATTTTTTTTTAAATTACATGGTTTTTTTATAAACTTTTCGGTTTAAATTCGCGTTTGTTTACATTTCGAACAATAAAAAATAACGATCACAAACAATTAAACGAACAATAAAAAATATAATATGATATTTTTTCACAACTATAATAAATAAAATTATCATTTTCATTTACTACATTTTCGTCAAAAAATATCATATTTTAATTTTATTAATTATCAGAGACATTAACTATATGAATATTACAATTATTACATGGTGCATTCGGTGGAATATATGCATTAAGTCGAGTATTATACAATATTTCCCATCCAGCGGCACGTTCTGATCTGTGATGACGCCAAAGTGACAAAACTGTAGACATTGGATGTAATTCTTATAAATCAACTTTTACGTAATGGCCATTATAAACGAAGGTGATAACAATAGATCTATAATGTGAAATATCTTGCGAACCATGCCAAAGTGGAAAACAGGTCGACGAACCTTGTTTGTCTAAAAAATAGACAATTACACCATACTTATTAGCGATGAGAAATCTAGTATCCGGCATAATCAACCAATATTCACTTTGTGCAAAACCAAATCCAGTGAAACTCAACGAGTGTTGTACGTTGTTTATGTCATCCTGAAAAATCATTGAATATCGTCCCCAATTTTCTAATAACTCGTTGTATAAGTCTGAGCGTATTTGGCGCCAATAATTTTGACTATACCCGAGGGAAACAGCTATTGCCCGAAATCCACAATTTCCATCTCCCTCCACATCTTCAATTTTTGTAACGTATGGATGAAATTCATTTGGAATTTCACTCATAAGTGAATTTGAATTAAATGTTGAAGGTTGTTGAAATGAAAATGTATTGTGCCTCTCTGGTTCCTGGTTTAAATCAAACTGATTAGACCCATTATAATCTGACATAGACGTCGCAAAACTATGTCTACGAGGAAATTAAGTCGTTGGATCTTGAGTAGGCGGAACAGTAGGTCTTTTTTGTCTACTCAACCGCGGACGTCCACTTGGTACTTTGTTTTTGTGAGAAGTAGGTTCCCGAAGCGAAGTTGTTGATGGTGAAAAAAATATCTTTTAACTTCTGCACCCAATCGAACTTACTAGATCTTGAGTGTTTTTTCAACTGTGTGTTCGACGTTTGACCTTCAACATCAACATCATCATCATCATCTTCTAATCAGATGCATGGATCTAAATTAATTTTTTTTCCAAAAGTTATGAATGGAATCAAGTGGTATTGGATTTTCATTTTTTAAATATATTGCTTGTTCGTGCGCACATGATAGATCGTGACTAGTATGCAGTTGACATCCACAAATTTCAAGGAAATTGATTTGTTCAAATTCCTTGAAAATTATTTCAAGTACATAAATTGAAACGTTGCCAACTATATATATGAAAATTGGATGGACGAAACGATGTCGTGCAATAATCATGCTCCGTCCTAAACTTCCTTTGATTGCATAGTCTTGAGACTGAACAACATCATGAATTCTTGGTAATACCGTCGCTAAATTTGATTGTGATGAGTCCAAGTATAATTTTACTTTGGCATGCTGACTCTCCACTCTATTGGTCGTGTAATTCCCAAAATGGAGAAATACGTCGGTCCAAACAGATACAAACTTTTCTTTATATTATGTCAACCACGTTTTCTTCAAGTAAGTAATAACTTCTGAAACATAATACACTTACATCAATTTTGAATATATATATATATATATATATATATATATATATATATATATATATATATATATATATATATAAACTAACAAATCTAAAAGATATGTTAAATTTACCTTTATAGTCCACCAAAATGTTTTCGACTTGTAAGAGATTAGAATTCTATGCTTCCTCATATTTGGATTCAACTAATTTTTTCTAACCTTTATAAAAGGAGGTCCAACAACGATGATGCACTAAAACGTTTTGTATTTTCTCTTAATGCTTGTATTGATATGCCATCTACAAAGTAATCCTTTAGTTTCTGGAAATACATTATTGCATGCGTTCATGCAAGCCAAGTCTCTATCCGTGACAATTACACATGGAAACATGCAACTATCTGTTGTTGATTTTAAACACTCTAGTGTCCAAGTGTAGTTGGATTCTATTTCCTTATGCATGTAGATTTTAAACACTCTAGCGCCTATCCATAAATGTAAGTATAGTTATATTATTTTGATTTGATTGTAGTGGTATTATCTTACATCGCACTAAGAAAAGATAGAATATTTATTGTAAATGTAAGGTAAGTTGAAGAACCATAAATGTAAATATAGTTATATTATTTTAATTTGATGGTAGTGGTATTCATTTAGACAACACTAAAATAAAGATATGATATTTATTGTAAATATAAGGTAAGTTAAATGACCATAAATGTAAATATAGTTTTATCATTTTGATTTGATCGTAGGTGTATTCATTTATTCATTTAGACAACACTAAAATAAAGATAAGGTATTTATTGTAAATATAGGATAAGTTAAAGGACCATAAATGTAAATATAATTATATTATTTTGATTTGATGGTAGTGGTATTCATTTAAACAATACTAAAATAAAGATATAATATTTATTGTAAATATAGGGAAAGTTAAAGGACCATAAATATAAATATAGTTATATTATTTTGATTTGATGTAGTGGTATTTATTATTTACACGGTACTAAAATAAAGATATGATATTTATTGTAAATGTATAATAAGTTAAAGAACCATAAATATAAATATAGTTATTAGTTTTGCCTAATATGAAATTGAAAGGTGGAGAATGTTATTATTTTTTAAAATAGAGAAGGGTATAAACTGAAAATATTACATCCATGTGTGTATATATGTGTGAAAAAATTAAAATATCAAAATATATATATATATATATATATATATATATATATATATATATATATATATATATATATAAGTATTTGTATTAAAAAAGAAAATAATTAAAACTGAAATCAATATATAATATAAAACTTATTTATATTGCAAATATACAGGCCTTGTATATTATTTATATTAAAAAGAGTAAATTACACAAATGGTCCTTATGGTTTTGGTAAATTTGCACGCTAGATCCTTAACTTATTTTTTTTAATTCGGAAGGTACCTACTGTTTGTTATTGTTACACGCTTGGTCCCTTGTTTGTTTTAGTTACGCGTTTGGTCCCTATCGTATGTAAAAATACAATTATTTAAATATGGAAAAATAGTATGGTAGGTAAGGTTAGGTGAGGGGGTGGGGTTGGGGTGTGTTTATTTAAATAAATTAAAAAATCAAGGGAAAAATAGACTTTTTATGTAAGATATGGACCAAACGTGTAACAAAAACAAACAGTAAAGACCTTCCGAGTTAGAAAAATAAGTTAGGGACCAAACGCGTAAGTTACCTAAACCATAAGGACCATTCGTGTAATTTACCCTATTAAAAAAGAAAATGACTAAAACTGAAATTAAAATATAAAATGAGGACCACAAATGTAAAACTGATGTATATTGTTGAATTGGAATATATTGATTTAACAAATCGGTTGCAGGAGCCAGGAGGTAATGATTTAAATTGACATATTATTCTTTTTGGATGTGATTAAAAGTGGTTTTGACTTTAATTAGTTCTTGACCCAAATTTTGGGTGTTTCTATTATATTTCTTGGGCTTTGGTCCTTCCTCTTTTCATGTAGTCAAATATGACGACTTATTTGAAGAAACACCTTTTAGAGTCAACTATACGTATCTTCCAAGTAAAAAACTTTTCCAAGTTTCCCATTATAAGAAACCAACATACACCACAAATATAAACCACCATCAAACCAAACTCAAATGTTATCTTTCTTCACCACAAACCATCATCAAACTTTACCTTTTATTACTAGAAAATTATATTTATTTTCAGTCCATCCATGGAAAACTTACCGGTGGAACTCATGGTCGATATTCTCTCAAGACTTCCTGTAAAAACAATCATCCACTGCAAGTGTGTATCCAAGAAGTGGCTGGATCTCATTTCTGACTCTTACTTTGCCAATCTTCATCTCCATAAATCACCTTCAAGCCTCATGATTCATCATAATTCTGAAAATGAAATGACTGGTTACTATAAACCAGGCATTTTTAGTTGTTTCCATCTCCTCCTGTTGAAATTTTAGAAGAAGGTCGTATCCATTTCTACAGTTTGGATGTTCTTAAAGGTTGTTTATGCCAATCTGATACTTTTGATTCTCAATTCACGATTTGGGTGATGAAGGAATATGGGGTCAACAAATCTTGGCGTAGAGAGGTGATTATCAAGAAAAGTGTTAGTCGTGATCTAGATTGGTTGATGTGGGAACCCGTTTACTTGATTGAGGGTTTAAATGATGGAACTATTTTGATGGTGTATTATCAAGATAAATTGTTGGCGTATTGTCTTAAGAGGAAAACAATTGAAGATGCGGAAATTTTTGATCGGTATTTCACTGGAATGGCTTATTGTCCAAGCTTTCTTAAACTTCAGAACTTCAAATCAGAGAGATTTCATGTGTTGTAAGGGTCATTAAACTAATAGTGTTAAGTCATAAAGACTAATAAAATGAACTATTCACATTAAAAAAAAAAAAAAAGTTTCATAAAGACTATTTTAAAGATATTTAAAACCATAAGAACCATTCGTGATTTTTTTGTCATAAGTAAGTGATGTCACAAAGCGGCTAAAAAAATGGCTTAACCATTTTAATAAATTTACCACGTTTTTTTACTGACAGAAAAAAAAAAACAACCACAACCATCTATTTCATGATTGATTAAATTGTGAAATATTTTTTTTATGAAATAACACACCGTTTCACAAAATATTATCTACTTCGTATAACAAATAATTTTCTTTTAAAGTCAACTATACGTATCTTCCAAGTGAAGGACCTTTACAAAATTTCTCCATTATAAAACAACACACCCCATAAACATATATACATATTGACAATCTCACAATCAACAATCCAAAGTCAACTATTCTCTTTCTTCTGCTGTCACCACTCGCCACCATCACCACCACCACCACCACCACCAAAATTCAGCTTTTATTACCAGAAAAAATGTCTCTTCTGGATCCATCCATGGAAGACTTACCGGTGTATATCACGGCTGATATTCTCTCAAGACTTCCAGTCAAAACGATCATCCATTGCAAATGTGTATGCAAGAAGTGGCTGGATCTCGTTTCAGACTCTTACTTTGCCAATCTTCATCTCCAGAGGTCACCTTCAAGCCTCATGATTCATCATAATCCTGAAAAGGAAATCGCCATTTACTATAGAACAGGTATTTTGAAGTGGCTGGAGGTTGAAGACGAACTCCATCACCACCATTTACACCATGACCCAGTCATGAGCCTCGACCTTAATCTCGCACCCATTTTCCAAGAATCTCAAATACACCCCGTAGGTTCAGTCGATGGTTTGCTCTGTCTATGGCAATTTGGTACTGAAAACGACAACACTTACATATGCAATCCAATCACCAGAGAATACATGATCCTCCCAAATCAACAATCCCATAGAGAATATTTTGCAATAGTTATGTGTTGTTTCGGAGTCGGGTCACTGAAAAACGAATACAAAGTGATACGGATCTTTCAAGGAGATATACCCACAAACCCTAATTCATCATCACCTCCGATTCTTCTAGAAGGTGAGATTTACACCATTGGCACAGGCCTATGGAGAAATCTTAGTATTATCCCTTATTGGATTAGTAACTTCAATGGGATATTCTTAAATGGACATGCTCATTGGATTGTTATCGATCAGGATTCGCCTGAAAAGCTTTGTGCTTTTGATTTTGACAAGGAGACGTTCGAGTTGTTCCCATCTCCTCCTGTTGAAATTGTGGAAGAAAGTCGTATCCATTTCTACAGTTTGGCTGTTCTTAAAGGTTGTTTATGTCAATCGGATACCTTCGATTCTCAATTCACGATTTGGGTGATGAAGGAATATGGGATCAAGAAATCTTGGCGAAAAGAGGTCATTATCAGGCAAAGCATTAGCCCGGATCTTGATTGGTTGATGAGGGAACCTGTTTATGTGATTGGGGGTTTGAACGATGGAACGATTTTGATGGTGTATGATGAAGAAAAACTGCTGGAATATTCTCCTCTCACAAGAACAATTGATGATACTGAAATATTCCATCCATATTTTACTGGAATCGCTTATCGACCCAGCTTTCTTAAACTCCAGAACTTCAAAATAGAGAGAGTTCGTGTGTTCTAATCTTTTATTTCATTTCAATAAAGTCAATGTAATTAATTTATCACCCATTTACCAGATGATTTAGATCTTGATAATCTTTTATTTCATTTCATTTGATAAATATTATATTTTTTGTGTTGAAAATTATTCATAAAGCAATTATATTATTACTTACCCAAGTGGCTTCATTGCGGAACTGAGTGAATATTTTGTTAAAATGATAAAAATGTGATTATTTACTTAACGAGACATCATTTGGTCATTTTGCGATTATCCTTAGGAAATTAACAAAAAAAAAAAAGGTGTATCGTTTTATAATAGTTCAAATAGATATTCATATTACAAAAAATGAGTTTATTATTTTTAATTCATTGTAGAATTCTTTTTTTGTTTTTTTTTTTTTTTTAAGATAAATTTATCATTTACCATATATATTTTTTCTTTGATAGATTCAAATATAAAAACAATCAAGTCATTAAGTAACAGTCCCAAATCTGTTTTTATGGGCTTTGGATGATCTATTGGGTCGCATAATGTATTTTGACTATCTTCCAGAGTCCAGAATCCAGAGGCACAAAAGTCATACCTTCAATTCTTCAAAAACCTAAAGGAACCTTGCCACACTGCTGTTATGAATCACTCGGTTCCTAGCCTCCAAAACTAAAGACAAGAACAATTAATGACACTGAAATTTTCGACCCATACTTCATTGGAATAGTTTATCAAACCCAGCTTTCTAAAACTCAAAAACTTTGAAATAGAGAGAGTTCATGTCTTCTAAGGGTCAACAAAGTTTTGCAATTATCACCCATTTATCATATTTAAAAGAACTTGATAGAGTTTGATTTCATTTGATGTCATAATAACTCAATCTTAGGCCTCGTCCACACGATAATAACTACAAAATCACAATCAAAAGGTTATCAGAGCTCGTTATGAACACCTAAATGCTAGTTTTATAATTAAAAGGCATATGAAAGAACATGATACACTGAAGTTCTACTACAAATTTGAGTTAAAATTTGTATATGGTATTGAATTCGTCCAAATTTTACCGATAGGTTCAAATTCTCATCTTCTTCAACCAAACAAAATGAAACCTAATTCTACATATGAATGATCATGTGTTAAGCAAACAAAGAAATAGAGTCAAGGTTCGCCCAAGAGAAAAAAAGGGATTATGTGCTAAATTGATCTTGGAGAAACCATTGGTTTTTTAGACCACAAAGATTTGTGGTTGTAAACATGGCAACTATTCAATATGACTGTTGTGAGTGAAGATCATGTCTGGATGATACCTCAAGGAACTTCGGTTATAAATCTTCTCGTGCATCATCATAGCTTTCATTCAAAATGAGTACAACATTAGGTATCTGAGTAGTTCTTCGGATTTCAGACTGTCTATTCATGTTTCGATGAAAAGACATTGCAATTCATAGTACTTGACTAGAAAAATAAAAATGAGCCACACATAACAAACAGTAAACTTAAGCTAACTACTATAAAGTACGTAAAAAAACATATTTCAACCCCAAAACCAATACACATTCGACAACTCTGCATTTTGGACTAGGGTTTTAATTTTAGACTAAGATTATTGCATTTTTAACTATATAAAACCTAATGTGAATCTAACCTGAAGTTTGCTTCAAAGTGTTTGAGATAAATACGTAATCCGAAATCAGTTCTTGGGATGTGGTGGGTATCGTATTCGAAATTTTCTTTAAATTCGAGCCGAACCGACATCCATGAAACTCGGGTCCAAGGCCCATTTCGTATTGCCACATCATTTCTATGGATGTACAAAATCTAGATTATTATCTTATATCTCAAAAAAAAAATCGTTGCCATCTATGTGATTACCACAAATTGTTTCTATATATGATGAATTTAAAACATATTTAAATATTAGTTTTTCAATCAAGCACAACTAAAAATAAGTTATTTGTTAAGTTCACCTTTAGATTCTAGAACATGATGGTTTTGTTGGGCTTCCTAAAGCTACGGCTCTTGTGAATTGCCTCCAACGACAAATACCGTTTTTCCAACTCCTGTTGGGTCCATCGTGTCTGCAAGACTGCTAATCTGTATTTTATATATTGACCCTAAGAAGACTTTGACATTTACAAACATTTTTGGGACGATTTGAACCATAACAACAAAATAATGTCACATCTAATGTGTTTATTATATAATTTTTTTTAAGTAATAATCGATTAATATTTATATACACATAAAATTCACCATGTTATCAACTACTCATTTAAAAAAAGTTTAAAAGAATTTAAAGTTATTCCGGGTCGTACACAAAACTAAAATTAATCTAATCTATGATTTAATAAAAATATTATTGTTATCCTCAATTTATGCATTATATTTTACCCCAAAACGTAACTCGTTCATTATTTCTTATCATTATGTGTAACCATAAATGGCCAATCATGTTGCATAATGTGTAAAAACATGGCAATGTTTTTACATTAAAATTTTGTATTTAAGTTTACTTTTTTTTATTTATTTATTTATTTTTTTTTATGGGAAGTTCTACTGTTGCACCCTTTTTGCTGTTAAATAAAACGATTGGAATGTATATTTCTACCATTATTTAATACTATTAAAAATAGTATTCAATTCATCTTGTAACATTAATTATATATAGTATATAAAGAAATATTTTCTAAGCATGTATTATAATTTATGGATAAAGAAACCTTTAATAATTTACCAAATAAGTTATTATGTGATAATATAAACCTCAAACAAATATCTTATATCTGGTAGTAGATCAGAGTGTGAATAGGTGGGTAAGCCATCATTATCTAGAAAACGGTTTGGTAAATTTTATTCCAAAATCCAAGGTTAATTTTGTAAATTCGCTCATTTCTTGAACTTATTTATATGTGCATCATATCATAGATATCATCATCGTCTTCATCGCACCACCTCCTTCGTTTTGTAACAATGGAGGAAATGTCGAATCACATCAACAAACAAACACCAAAAACCAATTTCATGAAACTCAACAACATGTTCACCATTTTCATCTTCATCATCTTCTTCTTCTCATCCACTGTGTCTCTCAGTTCTTACACTCACCATTTCTCCTCTTTCGACAGACATTACATCTTCCTCCTCTGCAATGGAATCCTGGTTTTCCTCATAATGAACTTCGGTTCGACCAACAGTTCTTCACCAAAACAAAATCAATCAGTAATCACAAATGAAACCAACTTTCCACCTCTACTAATCTCATCAGCCATGGAAGAACAAGAACAAGAACAAGAAGAAAAAATCGAAGAAGATGATGAAAACATTCATATTGGTTCTCATGTTTGCGTAGTTGAAGATGATTATGTTGTTTCTGCCACTCAGTATCAAATCGAAGATCAAAAGGCAGAGATTCATTTTGTTGTTGATGAACAAGAAATAGAGGAATTGAACAGGAGATGTGCAGAATTCATAAGAAAGATGAAGAAAAGAATTAAATCTGAATCATTTCTTCATTAGAAATAAGTAAAACAGTTTAATTTTAGTGTAAACTAACAGTTAAAGCCTCGACTTTGTTTTTTTCTATGTAGTATGAATTCTATTGTTTGTGTTATTTAGATATCCAACTACTAACAAATATTCAGTTTAGTGAATCACCAAATTTCAAATTATCAACTACCAAGTTCAATTTTCGGTATCACTCATAGTAAAATACTTGACAAAACTACTTTGCGGTTTATTAAAGTTCACAAATTCATTATTTGTTAATTTTTTTTTTTTTTACGAACGTGGTTCGTATGATTTTCAAAACTTATCTGAATGCTAATACCGTCAGTTTTTTTCCGTTAGTGTAAGAGTGATTTGATCTTTTCGTGTAAATATACCGAGTTTGTCACCATGCATAAATCATAGACACAATTTATGTAATTTTTTCGATATTTTTATGTTAATGAGTTTTTGGCTTTTTCACATTTTTACTTTTATTTTTCAAAATGTCACTTGACTTTGAATTTTGTAAAAATATTATTTTCATCTCTTTATTTATTAACCTTTCGTATTTATTTCCTGTAACATATATAATTTGATTTTCCTAATAACATTTGTTTATTAACCTTAAAAATTTGAAAGTGGTCAACATTTCGACATGAATTTAAACTTTCATATATATATATATATATATATATATATATATATATATGATATAGATCCGGTAAGAAATTTTTTTTTGTAGGAAGGTAAGAAATTTTTTTTCGACTTATTTTTTTCGCGAAAAAAACAAATGAATCACTAGATGAATCAATAATAACATAATTCACCAAAAAAATTCCGAAAAAACACTTCGATGATTCATTTTTATGATGATTTTGTTGATATTCACTAAAATTGTCATAAAAATGAATTTTTTTTCTTGATTTACTTAAAAATGAATCATGAAGGTGTTTTTTTCGGAATTTTTTCTTGTGAATAATCTTATTTTTGAATCATCTAATGATTAATTTCATTTTTTGCTAAGAAAATATGCATATAAAAAAATTTGTTACCTTCCTACCAAAAATTTCCTTCTTTTTTGATCTTGATTATATATATATATATATATATATATATATATATATATATATATATATATATATATGGAAAAGTGAATATACCCTTAAGGGTATATAAGTTTAGGTACCCAAACTCACTATAATTAGTTGTTTTGTTTGATATATTCATTATAATGTTATTAAACTTCAACCTTAACTTGATTTATTTTGAAGATTTTCGAAATTTCACTATTGTTTTCCTCTTATATCACTTCTTTTTGCCGAACACCTATTAGGCTATGTATATTAGAGTTTAAAATGAAAATTATGTAAGAGGAAGATAAATGTGAAATTTATAAAAATCTTAGAAGTAAATCAACTTAGAAGTTGAATTGTAAGAACATTAGACAATTACAATGTACACATATGATACAAAACAACATAGTATTGTGAGTTTGGGTACCTAAGCTTATATACCCTTAAGGGTATATTCACTTTTCCCATATATATATATATATATATATATATATATATATATATATATATATATATATATATATATATATATATATATATATATGTCTCCACATAAATTTGAAGGTGGTCAACGTTTCCACATGAATTTAAAACTGCCGTTTGTTAAGTTTTTTATAATTTTTTTTATGTACGTGTCGGCTTAAATTCAAGTTTTGTCTATGTTTCAATGTAATTTTTTTAAAGTTTTCCTTCTTAATTTTATGTATGTTTCCTATGAGTCGAATGACATATAATAATTTTTGTTTGTTAACTAAAAAAATTGTATTATATTTGAGTTTGTTTATGTTTCAATGGTTTTTTTTTTTTTTTTTACATTTACGTTTTTATACTAAATTTTATATATGTTTTTTTATTTATGAGTTGGATCACATATAAAAACTTTCATTTGTTAACTTTAAAAAACTAAATTTTTATTTGTTTATTTTATTTATTTGTCGGTATACATTCAAGGTGATCAAAGTTTCGACCTATCTGAATTTATAGACACGTACATAAAAAAGCAAACAAGTTTTTTTTTTTTTTTAAATTAATAAACATAGTTTCTAAATTTGTATCGAAACGTTGGGCACCTTGAATTTATATTGACACGCACATAAATAAGCATGTAGAAAATATATATGTAATCCGACACATAAAATTAAACACAAAAACGTAAAAAATAATATGTTGAAACATAGACTAGCTCAAATATAATACATTTTTAAGTTAACGAACAAAATTTTTTATATGTGACGTGACTCATACGAACGAAGCGTACATAAATTAAGCACGAAAACGTAGGAAATTACATTGAAACGTAGACAAACTCGAACATAAAACGACACGTGGAATAAAAAAAAAAAAACAAGTAAGTTTTTTAAAATAAAATTAACGAACGAAAGTTCTAAATTTACATCAAAACGTTGATTACTTTGAATTTATACCGATACATTTATAAAAATAAGCACATAAAACGTTATTGTCTTATGTTAACGAACAAGATAAACACAAAAGTTTAATAAACGGAGGGGGTGAAAATTATCATTTTACAAAGTTCAAAGTGAATGGTCAAAGTGATATTTAAAAAAAATAAAAGGGTGGAAAAGTCACAAACTCATAAACATAAAACGTAGACAACATTACATAAATGGTCCCGATGGTCTACCAATGGTCACAAACTCAGTCTTTGTTGTCTAAAAGTATCAAATTACCCTCATATTAACGGACGAAAAATAACGGTATTAGCAAAAGGAACGATCATTCACGCAAGTTTTGAAAACCATAGAGATCATGTTTGTAAAAAGAATTATTATGAGCTGGGTTGCCTTTTAGTAAACCACAAGATGTAATTTTTTTCTAAAATATAAAAAGTAAATTTATGTTAGACAAAATTTCATAATTGATCTTCATGGTTTGCAAAATATTACACTTTGAGGACAATTATAAAAAACGTAACACCATTGGTCCTTATGGTTTGAAGACCTTGCATGATTAGTCCTTTTAATTAACTCTGTTAAAAAAGAGGTTAAATACTTATGAAATGACTAATTTCATCCATTAGTGTAAGAGTGATGTGACATCTCCAAATGCACGGTCATTTTAAAATTTTTATTTATGCTTATTTAAAACTCAAAGTATTCATTTTAAAGAATAATATTGTGGAATTTGTTCCCAGAAAACATGATAAATATATTATCAAAGCATTTCTAAAGAAACGTATTTTGTTTATATTAAAACTTTGGGATGTTATTGTTAATACAGAAACATAAGCATAAACAAACAGTCCATTCATTTATACTAATGATTTACATCTTTGTTAATGCTCAGTGTAATGTAGCTTCGTATCGACACATGTGATACAAATAAATTGAGTAGGTCAGGTTGGGAAACCTGATGAGTACATAGGGTTTTCAACCCACAATAATAAAGTTATTATGTTTCATCATCAAGCAATTAACCCAATTACTCATCCCATTATATTTTTTATTTCTTAAGAATCTACCCCAAGAATCATCTATCATTCACTCATTCATTCCTAAGGATTGTCCTAAGGAATATGCACGAAGTCCATCGCTGTCAGGGTTTATACAACAGACACTAAGTCCATAGCTGCCAAGGTTATTTGTTAGGCACTAAGTCCATAGTTTTCGAGGGTTATCTCTTTTATTGTCAATATTATTTGAAGGAGTCCACCCACAATACATGTGAATGGGTTTTTAGAGTATATCTGATGAGCATATCGTTCACAACACCTATAGGTTCCGATCCTACTAGTGTTCCACTGGACTGTCTAGAATAGTCCGTGGTTGTCATCTATACTTTGCTAGATGACTGGGCCATCGCTTGGGTCATCGCTTCTCATCATCTTTCACCTGTAATGACTCCAAAAATCAAGGGTAAAAATTTCATTTTTCATTATGGTCAAAACACATATATCTTTTAAATCCAAGCTTCGCAAAAATATTGCTAATTAAAAACATTTATCAGAGTTCATCCCAAAATCAAATATTGTGGAAAACACGGGTGTGTACGCTATGATCAAGCCGAACCCTTCTTTTCCAACCGATGATACCTGATACCATAAACAAAATTGTAAGCATGATGCTTAGTGAGTTCCCCAGAGCATACCCCATATAATCACATAAACCATATCAATCACATAACCATGCATATAGACATATAAGGATGTCATGGAAGCCTTCCAAGGTCTTATACACATAATCACATAAATCATAACAACTACTCAATCCATGCATGTAAACATTTAGGGAAGCCATGGAAACCCTCCAAGGTCTTACTCCAGGTGCCATAGGAACCCCCTCATGGCCTTAGCCCACTGCCATGGGAACCCTCAAATGTCTCACCTACCTGCCATATAAATCATACATACAAACATGTAAGGATGCCCTGGAAACCCTCAACGGTCTTACACCGAGTGCCATAGGAACCCCCTCATGGTCTTATCCTGGAATGCCATATGAACCCCCACATGGTCTTATATCCAACTGCCTCGGGAACCCCCCGAGGTCTTCCATGCAAGTATCACAAAGACAACTAGCATACCAAATACCACACAATCAACTAGCATACCACATATATAACTACTTGCCATGGGAACCCCTACATGGTCTTCACATAAATACATAATGCATCAATAGCACACCCTTAATAATCATCACAACTAGATAAATAGGACGGACTTGGTGCCTTAGACCCATTGGTATGGCGAGGAGACTCACCTCGAATGCAAAATCTTCCCGAATGAAATCCTTAGTTGCCGCCCTGCCAGCTTCCCGGATCGTCACTACCAATCAATATACCCAATTAGCAATTAGGTTCCATACTATAACCCTTAATCCACATGGGGTAAAATGACCATTCTACCCCTAGCCCAATATGATCCATAACTGAGGTCCAAACCCAAACACAAGCCCAACACTATAATGTCTATAATCCATCAATGGGCCTAACTCGAGA